GAAACAATATTGGTCTTATTTATTGTTAAATGACTAATTATTCAAAACAAGAGAACTAGTGAGCCCCATCACCAGAACATAGTTTCATAACATATCAGTGTTCATCAATATCATCTCTTCATTAATCCCTTAAAATGCATACCGTATACGAAGTACAAGTTAGGTTATGCTAATTCCAATAACACATCTAGTCTTGCCCAAAATCGGTCTTGGTCTTGTACTTTGCAAGACCAAGACCATGACCGAGTAACTGTTGCGAGGCCAAGACCAATATAGTCCCCAAAAAAAATTGTTTTTGTGAATAAAAAGTAAGCCAAAATAGTTACTAATACGTGACAATTTTAGTTACTCTATGTTAAGAATTGGTATAACCAATATACCTTTGCATTTAACTCTTCAATTTTTTTATTCGGGCTTAGTTAGGTTTTCCCTATCTGAAAAATGACTGTGATATCTTTATAGCAACAGGCTAATAGGTAACTGTAAGACTGTTGTGAGACTCTCGCGCAAGACAAAGACCAAGACCAAGACTCGTCTTGGTTTCGCATTTGGGCAAAAATAAACGCATCATTAGGGCTTAGAAAAAAAACAATTTCAGTATTTTAAAACTTCAACAATAAATAAAAATTTTATGGAATTATTCCTATAAAAATATAATAAATAAAAAAGTAATACATTTGAATAAATGATTAAGGAATATGTATGATGACAAATTTGATCGTAACGGAATAATAGATTTCCTTCATAGGAAATCATTATTCATTCAAATTTTATATTAGTATGTTAGATAGTTTAAATTAGAAAATCTACAAACCATGAAAACATTTTGGTTTTCTAGAACATTCCTTATTGATAAGAAAGTTTTTAATAAGGACTGAGTGAACCCGGCAAGCCGTCTGTCATACCGTATTTACATTTGAGAAAAAAATTCATTATTTTATTAAGAGGGCTTTTAGAATGAGTTTTTAACACCGGTTGTTATTTTTGTCTATGGAGCTATTAACAGTTTAACATTCTGGTCTCATGCTACAAAAAATAGATATACACGAATTGGATTCTATAGATCTGTGTTTTCCAGAAATATTAAGGTCTAGAAAAAAGCTATATTCAGCCTCTCGTAATAATATATTTTCTTAAAATATGATTGTCACAATATATGATCAAAAGATTGACGTCAACACTATATATATCATTCAATTTAATCTGGTTGTTTTAAATAACCTATGCGCTTTGATTGTTGGACTTCAGGAAAAAAAAAATGAAGTTACGTAATCGAGAGAGGAGACCTTTAAAAATGTCGGGATGTTTAATTTGGAATCAATTTGGATCCGGCCGTTTCAAGGCAAACAAAATAATACCATGTTGTTGATTCGTGACCATAACTCCATCCCTTGATTACGTTTCTACGGTCTCCATTCCAATTGGTGGAACATGATTTAGGACCGTTATTCGTTAAGCCGATCTCTGCAGTTTTTAATTTCTTTCACCACCACGACTCTCCCGTTGGGTCCACTATCTTGAGGATGTTATTTTTAATAGAGTTTAGATTAAAAAATATTCTTAATGCCTGTTTCTCTAGCTTGGGACGAGGCAGCAGGCCAATCATGGAGGTCTTAAATTGGAAGTGTTGTAATTAAAGTCTTTTACGGTATGATTTCATCCTAGGGAATTGGAGATAATATTCGTATGAGGGACGAGTATTCCTTTCTCTAAAAATAAGAAATAAATACAATCCATTCCATCTGACCGTGTTTCTTTAATATTTTTATAAAATTAATTTTACATAACGATTCCAGAATTATTAGGAGCCCCCAAAAGATATCTCAATAGACATATTTATACCGTTATTTTTAGCTAACAATAGATACAAACCAATCGTAATAATTAAATGGTTGATTGAACTTGAAAATTCGATGTACACTCACGAGTGTATACTGTTCAATTAGTTTCGTCAAACACCACTGAGTCGTTTAATGACACATCCTATAAGTGATATAATCAAGGATTCGTTATTATTCTTTCAATATAATTAATAAATCTCTTTCAATAACTACCTTTCTAATGACCTTAATTTAATAAATCTATTACAAAATAAAAAATCATTATAAATTTATCTTTTGTATATATAATTTTTTTTTCTGAAATTATGAACAAGTATAGTTACAAATTATTTTGAAAGTTCAAATAATGTAAAATAAAACAACGTTCTGTAATTTTTAGCTTATTTTAAATCAATTTATAAAATTATTATATATTCATGTATGTAGTTTAATATAATAAGGTCAATAAAATTTATAGTGCACTTTTAATATCATGTTTTCTTTTTCATCGTTTTGCTTATTTTATTTTTTTAATTACTCGAAAGTTTGCATGCCAAAAAAGTTACATTGACTTATCTATGCTTTGATAGTTTATCATGTTTGATGGGGATTATGTGTATATATTGAAATGGATTTAGAATAATTATTTTATAAAATGTATTTTTTTTGTATATACAATTTTTTATTGAAAACAAAATCAATTCTAAAATTTTTTATTTTTTCAAATTTATATTAAAAAAAAGCATTTAAAATTTTTTATTAGTGTATAATGCTTAAAACGATTATTTTCAAAATAAAACTACGTAAATACTTAAATAGAATATATGATTGAAATTTCTCAAGAGAAAACTAACTTGACTGTATAATTTTAGGAACTTAATTTAAAATACTTGAAAATTTAAAAATGTAACAGCATGATCGAATATTTTCTCAAATATATCAGTTATTTAGAAAAAGGTTTTCGATTTTGTTTTACTTTTTTTTTAGTTTACTGAAGGTATACAGGTTTTTCCTTTTTGTTGAAAAAATAAATTAGAATTATTTGTTTTATTAACGTTCTAATTTGACATACTATGTACTAAATGATAATAAGTAGGTAAATCAATGAATAGGTGATTTTTGTTTTCTATTGAGTTATAAAATATTCAGTCACTACGACAATAATTATGGTGAAGTAAGAACACGTTCATGCTAAATATACAGAAAAGAAAAAATATACAAAAGCATAATAACAACTAAACAATAATAAAAAAGTATATAAATTAAATAAAAATAAAATTATTTAAAGATAAGTATAGTAAAATAAAACATATATATATATACATATATATAAAGATATATATATATATTTATTTGTAAGTTATAGAATTATATATATAACAAAAAGTTTTGTCTTATAAATATAATTAAATGTTTGTATTAATCTATTAATTCTGCTATCTTTGCCTAAAGAGAAAGATAAGGATGAGGGTAGGCTTAACGAATGTGTCAGACTGGACGTGAGGGATTCTTAATGACCGACTATATTGGAGCATTAAGTCCGAGCCATGAGATGTTTACTTTTTAGTTCGGCATTAATTTACCTAATGACCAGTTCCATAGATCTTGGATTCTCCACCGACTTCGGGTTCCTGCCCGTTAAATACTGGTTTTAGTTTTAGATAGTCAGGTATTCCATCCACGTGGCACAGCATGAAGGGTCTATCCGAAGGAATGGGAGCGATCATTTAAGAAAGAGAAGAATTTAATTAATGTTTGAAGGAATTAGTCTTAATTTTGTAGTTAGTTAATGTTGATAAACTAACAACCAACTTATCGATGTCAATCAGTTTTTCAATCTTGGAAAATGAGTATGCATAACTTCAAAGGCGAGAAGAATTCGTCTGCGGACTTAAGATTTTCCTATTGTCATTTAAATAATCATATAAAATTTACCCCCCTTATTATTAGTACACTATATTGTCATATTTGCATGTCTGAGTGTTTTACATGGGTGCAATTTCAGAAAAATTACAATAATATAAAAAAAATTTCTTGAAAGTAAAAACTATAATTCTAGTAAAATACAATTCTCATATTAAAGCATGTATGGTATTTAAATTGAAATTTTTTTTGCCGTTTGTCAAAGAATCATTAGGCAATTATCGGATATTCATTGATTACGTAAAATTGATTTTAATAACTTTTGAGCATCAAATCCTTAAGTATTTTCAATTTAATATGTCTATAATATTTTTTTTTATTTATTTATTTAGACATATAATATTCTGTCACAGGGACAATAATTGATAAATGAACACATTCACATCATATATACAAAAAAGAAACAAAATTAACAATAGTAAAATAATAACTAAATAATAATAAATAAAAACTATATACAATAAAAAAAATAAAATAACCTAAATATAAATAAATTAAAAACATAAAAACACAGTCATATCTACATACTAACAACAAAAAAAATTTATTGCTATTTACACTATTGCAATAACAAATAACAAATTATTATATTATTAAAGTATTGCTGCCTTAAAAGATTTGATTCAATAATCTTATAATTTAATAAGGGTATAATAAAATTATGTTGATGCTAAATAAGATTATGATGATATAAATCAATATTCCTAAAAAATGTATAATTATTAAGAAATATTTCATCGAAATTCAAAAATTATGCTGCGAGATCCAATAATGGGATATAATGATGGGAGTAGATAAGTCAAATCATTACTGAAGATGCTGATGTTTTGGTTTTTGGTGGATATAAATATATTTTGAAATAAATTAAATAATTTTTAAATCCAGAAGTTTAATATGATAGAATCTTCTCAATCGTCAATAATTAAAAATAAAGTTTGAAAAAAAAAATATACCTTTAGAGATAAGTGAAGGTATATAAATAAATCAAACAGATGCATTGATAGCAAATATAAAGAGACTTATAAAATAAAATCAATCATCTTAAATCAGATTTATTAATTACATTAGAAGGCCGAAGAAAGTAATAAAGTAAAAAAAAATTCTGACAAGCTGAGCTGATTAATATCACAGATAGTGTAAAATAAGAGCAAAATCCATGAGTTATGACATATTTTTGTTTAATACTTAAGAGTGGTATACAGGTTTCCTTTTTTTTATTATTATATTAATTATGATTTGTGCCTTTATTCCACAAGAATGGAAACTCTCAGATGTTAGTATTTTTTGAGAAATATTTAATCGAAGTTTGTTAAGATTTACGTGCTTAAGTATTTGTTCATTTTAGGATAGCACTGACCTTATTAATATTTTTTATTATTTTTAAATATATCAATGTATTATATTATGCTTATTTTATATTAAGCAGGAGTACATTTTATTGTACCATAATTCGTTTTTTTTTCTACATGTTCCAGGGGACTGTCTTCTTTATTAATATCTCTAAAGCAGTCCTCTGGAAGATGTATGCATTCCCCTTTCCCCGAAAATGTCAGAATAACTTATTTGAATATAGAAGAATCTCAAAAGATATATATCAATGCATGTTTGGGAAATTATCATTTTGAGCTATAGTATAAGTGTATGATGGTCAGACTCAGTCCATCGTCACCAAACCATCCAGTCTTGATTGACGCACCCTTTTCATTCCCTTAACTTCTTTAACTCAGGCTCCTACGAGCACCCCTGGATGATGTGGTATGATGGACTAGTTAGCTATCCTCAACTTCTTAGCCGCTCCGCAGACGTGCCGGGTATCCCCCAAGCACGTACTGTGCACGGCAACTGTTGCCTGATTCAGAGCCTGCTGCAATGTTGCAGGCCTGGTAGACCGCCGAAAAGGGCTCCTGTCGGACTCTCCTTGGCAGCGTCGCACCTCTCCCAGCAGATCAAGAAGCACAGGATGGACAACGGAGACTACCCATCGTCAGGATACGAAAACGGACACATCTCAGGTGAGCTGCAGAACCTTGATTCCATTATAAACTTATACACTTTTTATAAATATATATATATTTAAGATATGAAAGTTGGGTTCTTAGCCAATATGGAACCTTAACGCCTTCCGTGAATTTCTAAATGAATTATTAAATAAATGTCACCAAAGCCCTCTAAATAATTTAAAAGCAATTAATTGTTCAATAGATCGTTGGGATGTTTGCCCTAATCAGGCTATTAATTGATTTTTACAATAATAAATATTTATATTGTAGATTTTATTTTTTTAGCTACAAATATGAGTTATTGATATTTTGATAAATCATATTGTGGGATACAATCCCTTCTACTACATGAAAGGTATTCATTCTAAGGGAATTATGGGGATTTAAAAATTATGAAAAATTGATCGTACTCTAAACCATTTTCTAGTGATGGTGCTCACTAGTTGTCTTGTGTCGGTCCAGTTAGTCAGTAGTCCTCAGTCTTGTCAGGTTTGAGGCTTTTCGCACGCGTATTGCAGGCTATCGAAACATAAAAGTTATCCAAAAAACTCTTAGATGTTTAGTTACACTTGATTTATTTGTTTGAGCCTATCAGAATGGATAAATAGATTTTTTCTCTTCGAATTTGAAATTTTCATTAATCCATAAATTGCACAGCATCCTCATGAAGGATAAGCGGTGTGATCAGTTTCGCGGTGAGACTTCAACAAAGAATCGTTAGGGTAATTATCAGTGCAAATGTTAATTAGGATATGGTTGCGGATGTTGATTGACCTGATCAATGTCAGTTGATTTACCATTTTGACTATAGGGGCCATGTTAGGGCCGTCCTGTTTACCCCCATCTTGTTGATTCCCTCTATCTACACACCTTCATTAGCAAATCCTGCCCGCTATGATTTAGTTTGCTCTCGTAGTATTCGTTGTAGCTCTTGTAGCCGTTGTTGACAACATATTGTGTCGTGTAGGGGTTGATGGTTATGGTAAATTATGTCAAGGTTCGTTCCAAAACTTCATGAAATTTATATAAAAAGTCAAGTTTACGAACCGCATTCAGTTTCAAGAAACCTTTCGAAACCGTTAGATATTGAATAGGATTATTCTGTATATAAAATTAACTACAGGAACATTGATTATTATGTGGTGCTGGAGGATTTAAGATCGTTGATGATAACTAAAGAAAATGAAATTCGAGGAGGAAATTAAGGCTAGGTTAAAGGATGGAAATGCTTGTTTCCGATACCTGTCGTGAAAATTAAAAAAGAGGTATCTATTCATTATTTGATGAGCAAGAGTTATTTTGTGTATTTGTTTTTTTGAGAAGTTACCTCTTTTAATTAAGTCTACCTAAAAAAACTTCCGGGATTTTATAGAAAAATTCAAGTTTGTCAGCCATACTTTGTTTCAAGAAACTTTTCGAAATCGTTAGGTATTGTATAGGATTAAATTTTTAGAGAGGAGGATAAAAAATAAAGTATTTTAATTATTTTTACATTCGCCGAGGTTTCGACCCGACGTTCAGGCCTTCGTCAAGGCTGCTGTACAAGAAATAATGTCAGACCAACAAGAAGTAGGTCTGACTTTACTTCTTGTACAGCAATGCTGATGAAGGCCTGAACTTCGGATCGAAACATCGGCGAATGTAAAAATAAATAAAATTATTTACTTTTTTACCATTTTAATTTTACTGATCACCCCAACCATCATTCTCTTCAATTATTCACTACATACAACAATAAACCCAAAATGATTAAATTTTTGTTTTTGTGAAGTAACCTCATTCATTTTTAATTAAATCTACGTTGGTGTGTAACATATAAAACATTATTTAAAAGCCAAACAGGTTATTTTAAAAATAAAACTCCCAAATTTAAAAAGCAGAATTATACTCCCTATAGTTCTTATGGATCCAAAACGTGGACGCTTATTTAAACCGATGATTTTGAAAATTTAGCATATTTATATTTAAGCAAGAGAGCTCAACCGAAGCAATTTATTCGACTACCCTACGCTGAATTTCTTGAACTATATCCGGTAAACAATTGATAATCATATCAAATATATACTTTTCTACTATATTAGCTATCAAGCTTTGCGGTGAATAACATGGTCGTGTAAAATTGTTTGGCTTAATTACAAAATAATCATTGGGTGAACTGATGAGCGTCCGAAGGGCAGACCAAAGCGAAGGCGGGAGGATTGGGTTAAGGTTGATTATGCGGGACCGCAATCGGTGGATAGAAGTATGTGGACGGCGGCGATTGGTATCGGCTCATACCTTCGGGTTTGCTGAGCCTTTATTATTATTATTCTATTTGTGCATTCTTTCGTCGTATTAAATATTTCAGTTTTAAAAATTAACCATAATTAAAAAAAATAACCGAAAGGAACCAGTAGGAAGTCGAGAGAGGGTAATTACATGTGACTGCTTCTCGGATCTGATATCAATAAAAAATGGGTGGAAGCCCACATCGGAATCCGCTCCGTAAACATCTGTTCAGTTACGAGCTGTAGGCAGTTGACGTCCAAAAATGTAAAAATTAAGATACCTTTGTAGCAGTTATAATATATTTTATTGCTATAGTGTTATGGCCGTTATTCTGAATTAATTGTTGTTTTATGACCTCCTAAATTATCTCATATCAGCTTTGAATTGGAAGCATAGTATTTTAACTGAAAACAAAGATATTGCTTGAAGTAAATATTAGGCTAGGCTCTTAGGTTACTTCGATTACTTTAACTGTACATTGCATATTGGCGGTAAGCAATGGAAAGCTCTTTATTCCACAGGCGGATCTTTCGGGCTGAAGCCCCTCCCCCCTCCCAAAATGGTAAAATATAACCATATTGTACAGTAAAAAATATTAAAATCTATCTCTTAAAGTATTCTTGTTCTAGTAATTAGATTTAATAATACTTCAAGAACCACTTAAACATATTTTCATATAGGTAATTAATTTCTTCTTTTTTAAAAAAATTAATTATCGTTATATATATATATATATATATATATATATATATATATATATATATATATATATATATATATATATATATATATATGAAAAAAAAACTTTCAAGCTGAAGCCCTCCCCCCCAAAATTAAATCCTAGATCCGCTAGTGCTTTGCTCTATAAGTCTATTTAAACCACACAACTCCAATTTCGGATCTCTATTTACCAAGATAGATTTGAAACTAAATATATATATTCTATAAATAAGTAAGTATTATGTTGTATAAGCTGTAAGAATTAAATCTGTAATACTTTATATATTTTTTAACTCTTATTTTCCTCCCTCGTAAAATTTACCGAAAATGGAGTTAAGAGTTTTCCATTGCCTACCATCCATATGTCAATTTCATAAGCATATTGACTTCATGAAGAAGTCAAAAACGAAAAAAAATAATCTAAAAAAAAATAGACGACTTAAAGTTTGGTTTCATACAAACAATTTTCAGAAATTATTTAATAATTTTTTTAAAATATAAATTCATTATAGACGATGTATAAATATTAATAAATAACTAAAATTCTCATTACCTGTGATATATGTACGTTATTGTTTTCTTTGTTTGTCTTTCTTTGTTTTAAACCTGATATAGATAATGGATGTCGGAACAACTGTTTTCTGTTAAATTGACTCAGATATTAGCTTATTACTGTAGAGATATTACTGTAATTTTTTAGATAGGAGAAACCTAACAAAGCTCCCAAATGAAGAATTAAAGGAGTTAAATGCAAAAGTATATTGGTTATACCAATTATTTACATACATTGTAAGTAAGATTGTCACGTATTAGTTACTGTTTTGCCTTAATTTTTATTTTAAAAATCCATTTTTTTTTTACTAGCGTTGGTCTCGCAAAAGTTAGGCAATCGTGGTCTTGGTCTTGCAAAGTGCAAAAGTTCGATTTTGGGCAACACTAGTTGCTATGGGTCATAGAATGATGTTAAAGAAACCTTGTACCTTACTCAATAAACATTCTATTCAGTTCAAAAAGAATTTTTGCATTTTTTAATTGGGAGTATGGTTCCTGATATTAATGCCTTCAAACTAACAGCTATCCAGTTTCTAATATTATTACGGATTTTACGTTATTCGTCCCAAAGTATTTCTGTAATAATCAGAAAACTGCTGTAAATGGCGCAATCTCTCGCTCACGCGTTGTTTTCGATTCGAGCCAGAAGCATCGCGACCACTGATAGCCGTCTATTAAGATGCAAATGCCCTCAGACCGAGATAAAGGCTCCGGAAGAGGAAATGCTCAAGTTTAATTGTTAGCCGAGCTGTTATTATAACGAAAGGCGAGTTGTTTATAGGAAGAGGCGTCTTAAGGAAAATTAAGGGCATTCGTTCCCACTGTCTTGATTGAGAAGGGATACCTAATTGTCCATCGGAGGAGCGTGTATCTGTGTGAACTACTCTCACAGACGAATCAAACTGTAATTAACAATTAGTAAACTATTGTAATAATAGTCCGCTTAGAAAGTACCGGCGCCTAGCTTTAAGTACTTTGCCCGTTTAATGCTCTGTTTACGTGCGTGACAAGCGTTAATGTTAATTGATTGGGATTTTTCTTTTTTTTTTTTATATTTCAACTATTCCTAAATCATATTTCAAAGATCCATCGTAAAATTATATAGAATTGTAATATTACAGTATAGAAAACACTGATCATCGAAACAGTTTAATTTATATCTAAACCACTCGTGATAAATAAAACATACACCATTCGTTGAGGAAAACGTTATGCACAGTAACCATAAACCTTAATATATTATGAAAAATATACACACAGAGCTTTCCGTAAATAGCCTCTGCAATTATTACAAATAAACGCAGGGACAAACTTTGATGTACATCAGAGTCGACTTAACAATAGACTATATGTTGCCTTTTCTAGATCAGGTAAATATTTACAATTTAGAGAGAAAAAAATATCGTTTATGCTGAAGGACTTGTATGTTATTTTTAAACATTTTATAAACCTTTTCATAGCTTTTAAAGTTGATAAACCACTAAATTCTAATAAATAATTGTTTATAAATAAATGTGTGTTATGACTGGTAGGGTATCAATTTAAATCATTAAGCTATTCACTCGTTATATGAATAATAAAAATAAAATATTTGATTGTTGTTTTATGAATAAGATAACTATAAAGAGCTATGATTTTAATTATTTCTTCTTCATTAAAAAAAATATATCATGTAGTATATATATATATATATGATTGCCGACAAAACTTAGAACATTAACATCAAAAGTATAACTGATAATTTTATTAAATCAAACAAACATGATATGCAGTCAAAATGTTTCTAGCTTTTAAAGTCCATAGGCGAATAAATTCGAGTTGTGTATATTTAAATGAGGATTGTCCTTGGTATAATATTAATTTAAATCATAAATTAATTTTTTTTTTATTTTTTTTTATTATTATTTCAAGGGAATTTACAACTGTATTACATAGAGAATACAATAAGTAAATGAGAAATTTGTAACATGGCATGTACAACATGAAGAGTAACTACCCATTGGTAGAACTCAAATTAAAGTTCTATATTAGAAGATCCCGAGGCCATCTTCTTTTCAGACGCCTCGGAGGGTTATCAGGGATCGAGGAGGAAGCAAGGTTTGAAACGAGAGGATTCAGATGATTCTGCAGTTTGTTATGGAAGGAAAGGTATCTGGATTGGGCCAGATCGGAAACATATGGAACATTAAGGTCTTTATGGATGATTTTATTTGTGACAAAGTAAGGAGCATTGAGCATTTTACGAAGGATTTTGGATTGTAAGGATTGGATACGAGAGGAATTCGATGGTTTAGTGGAGCCCCAAAGCTCAATTCCGTAAGTCCAAATAGGTCTTATTATTGTCATATATACGAGTCGTTTATAATTGATTGAAAGCTTAGATCGTTTGTCTAGTAAGTGCTGCAGT